GATGTTGTTCCGCGTAAACAAGTCGGAGGGCACATCAGGAAATTAACAAACAATGACACTTGGGGAGCGGAGAGCCTTCTTGGGTATTCCACTCCTGTGGCTCGGCTGCGGCGGCGGCGGCGGGGGGGGGGGACCTTTCCATCAGGCCGTGCGGACACCACGGCGGACCAATGGTTGTGGTGGTTGGGGTTCTTTTTTTCCTCCCCCTAAAGAGAAGGGGGAAAAGGTGGTGGTGGCTCTTTTAAGATCGAGAAAGAAGCTCATTAGATGTGCAAGCCCAAGTAAGAATTGCTGACATTCAGCGTCTTTTCTGGATACGTTATTTGAGCTGGAAAGGTATTTTAGAATAGATCACTTATCAGTCAGATAAGTATCATTAAAAAAAAATCCAGCCAGTCCCTAACAGGTGCACACCGTAGTCTCTGGGCTTGGGTTTGTTGTACCAGGGGAGGGGAAAGTTGAATAGTCCTGTCTGTGTTCAGTGCCTTGTTAGAGTCTTTATTTTTCCTGATCTGACTTTTGAAAAACGATAAGAACTTAAGGGCAGACGTAAAAACATATGTCCATCAAAACGCATTGTGCATTAATAATCACCTTAAATTAGAAGCTGGTAACTTTTTCTCATCCTGATGTCACAAGTCCTCACACTGAGTTGAGAACGATCCTGTTTAAATATCTTCTCTGAGTCAGCATGCAGTCAAAACCGAACCACAGAACCTGTCCATTCTGTTGTTTTATCTAGCATTGACATCAGAGGAGAGAGCGAGGCGATTGTTTTAACAACCTGGAGAAGTCGCATGTAAGCTGATGAAAACTGAAGGGCAGTTTTGAGTAACAGAGCTTTTTCAGCTAAGCTGAGCTAACGATGTATGTAGATTCAATCAAGCCTGCTTTCGGTTAGTCTGAAAATGGTTTGGTTATGGACATTTTGAAGTTCTACTCATAACCTGTTTCCTCCAATTTAGTTTAGATACTCTTAAATGAAAAAGGCCTGAAATAGTTTTACGTATTAAAATGTTTGGCTTTCCCCTCTTCCTGTGTACTCCCCCCCCCCCCGCCCCGCACCAATAGTGTTGATTTCTCAGTCATTTGTACTTCAGAAATCTTTTCATATATGACTGGCCTCTTGGTCTATCTGATTCATTCTGGAATGTCGGCTGCTTTCTTATGTCTGACCTCAGGGAACTCACTACTTTATCTTAAAAGTGAGAGTGTTTTGTAGACCTTGCCCTGTGAGGTTGAAGGCCCCAAAAAGGGAATGGCTGTTAAGAAAGAACCTTTAGTTTCTTGCCTAAGCAATCCTACTTTTTTAGAAACAGAGAATTGCCAAAGCGCAGTAGAGAAGCTTGTAAAACACTGTGTTTTAAAGTTTGACTGACATAGCAAGTTTGTCTTTCTCCTTTAAAAAAAAAAACAAAACTATAGGTCTGATTCTTCTCTCTGCAGGTGCGTTCTTAGAACATAAACGATTGCATATTAAAGTGCACTAAAGTGAATGCAAGACTCGCTTGGGTGAAAAATGAGAATCTTGCTTTCTTATCCAGGTTATACTGTATTTGAAATAACAAATCAGTATTTTTCATGTGTGCTTCTGGGATTTTTTTTCTGGGTAAACTGAGAGTACCAGGTAGCTAACTCGGAAGCATACCATTCCTCTACTCATGAATATGGGTTGTGGAGATGAATTGGGACTCTTCCCCTGGCCTATGATTGGGCAAGGTTTTTTCTTCACCTTATAAACATACTTGTCATTTGGAAGAAAAGAAACCTAGTATGTAATTGGCATCTGTGGGCCAAATTTCCTGTGAAAGCTGCGTGAGCGAGCAGGGTGTTTTCTTAAGTCAAAGTCATGATTTCAGGTTTGTGTACTTCTCCAGAGTAAGCAAAGTTTTGGGGATCTGCAGATTCTGCAGGTGATTAGCTGTGTTCTCGAAAATTACATTTACGAATTACAGTCTAGGGTGTACATAATCTGTAATGAGATTCCAGTCCTTCTTGCTTATGCGTAGCTTGCAGGCCATTAGAATTCTAATTTCTGGTTGTTTTCTCACCCCAGATTATCACCACGAAGTATATAAGATCTCAGAATTCAGCAGCGATGTTAATGGGGAGGCCAAAGAGACACAACCCATTTTTTTAGGTAGGTTCTTATGTCAATTAATTTCTGAGCAAAACAGCGTGGCCATTTGCAATTAGGGGGAAGGGAAAAAAAAAAAGGTTATGCCAGAACGGGAAATGTCTGCCTTGGCTTAACGTGTAACATTCTTTTCAAGACCTTTTATTTTACAGATTGCCAATATATCCCTTATTAACATCGCTAAAAGTTGTAATTTCAGACATAAATGTTTATTAGTGTCTATACACAGCGCTAATTATCACTCGCTCCCGGAGCCAGATGCTGACCGTGCAGTTTTGTGGCTCCGCACTCACCCCCATCTCCATTGCATATTCGCTGGCATGCTTCACTGGCAGTAGTTTGTGTAATTGGGGTATTACATCTTTGACATCTGGATAACAGAAATTCAATTTCCAGGAAGCCGCTATTTGTTTGGTTTTGCCTCTGCCTTGGGTGGGATAGAGGATTAATATGCTGTCTTATTATAACGACGTCCTTTCACCTCCGTGGCCTGGTTGCTAATCCTGCCATGACAAAATTAAATTAACTCTCCAACCAAAAAGCGGAAGGAAAATAAAAGGGTGATTGTCCGCCTAACCACCTCTTGATCGGACAAGCTATCAGTGAGCCACTCCTCATTTTCCCGACTTTGTGTTCGTTTCACACCAACATTTGTGGTCAGAGAGGAGCCAGGCTTTGCTCTCCCCTCCTCTTCACCATTCCCAGCTCACCTCAGGGCCATGCAGAGCAAAGAGCACCTCTGAAACCACCCAACAAGTGCAACTGCATGATGGATGAGTGGGTCCCTCCAAAATGATGCCACTCTTCCCAAGTGATGTTTTTGGTACAAATACTGTGCCTGAGCGACCCTGCCTGGGCAGTTTGTTATCTGCAGACCATGAGCCAAAAATTAAACGACCGAGGATTTTGCCCTTAAGAGTGAAGTACCCACGAGGTCGGAGTGGGGGTGGATCACGGCATGTGGCTTCTACCTTGCCCATCCCAAACATCTCCCCAAGCCCCCGCTAGGAGCATGAGAGCTGGGTACCACACGACAGGGAAGCAGAAGATGGGAGACGGTCCTGGCAAGAGTGGTTAAAAGCAGGGGCCAGAATGGCCACATCTCTGGGGGAGTTGATTGGTCTTAAGGAAGCAGGACTGGTGCTCAGATCCAGTGTACTGCCGATTAAAACAACGTGGAAACCGCACGGAGGCGTGTTCCCTCTCTTTTGCTTTGAAGAAGAGAGCTGGTGGGTGGCAAAAGATTGAGATGTCAAACAGATACTAAATAGGGGTAAAATAGGAGGGAAGTAATGGCTTTTCTTCCCCACCTGGATCTTTCCATCCAGAGACCATGCCTGAGGCCAGCACTCTCTCAGCACCTGTTTACTATTAAGAGGGCTCAAGCCCAAAGGTTAATAGTCAAACGAAACACCATGACCCTGCAGAATACCTTAAACATCCTCAGTTAGAAGTCTGTATTTTTCAGCTCCCCAAACTTTCATCGGTTGGAATTCTGTATCAAAGCGCCCCTCAACTTAACATTTGAAATGAAGAATTTCCCTGTTAGTAGGACATGTATGTTTATCATAAAGAGGGAACGTCACGTCCTTGGTTTAGTTCATCTCTGACAGAGCAGGCTTTTCCCCGCTTTCTGCTGTGACTTGGAGGGTGGTGAGGACACTACACAGTTTGTGAATTCTGGGCACAAGAGAGTGAAGGATGCAGAACAGGGAGATTCTAGTGCCTGGGATTCAGTGACAGGTAAACTCCTGAAAGGGCGGGCCTGGCTGCTTTCACATTTCCTAGCTCAAGTCCAGGAAGATAAGAGAACAACAGTAAACAGGCTTGGGATGTTTCTAAGTTGTTGGTCCCAGAGGCCTTAGACATTGAGACAAAAGACTGAACAGCGTGAAAGTGTGCCTGGGTTATTTCTCTGTCCTTTGCTCATTCTGGGGAAAGTGCAGTATAGTTCCCAAAGAACGCTTCTATTTTGTGATCTTCAGGTCAATTTGAAAAAAGAAAAGAAAAAAAAAAAGCAGAAGAGCAAATGATTACACAAACCTGATTTCTAGTCCTTGAGGATAGTTCCTGATAGCGTACGAAGTTCAGAATTCTGTTGCTGATGATGTTGTAAGATAGACCTTTCTTTAATTTATAGTTACTGTTCTCCAAACCCAAGTGTCAATCATGTTTGTTCTGTAAGTGGCTGGAGTCTGTCTGTAATATTACTTATCATGCTGTAGAATTCCATGTGGGGTTTGTGATGTCCAAGGGGGTCTGTTAACAAAACACCAGGACTGTTTTCACCTATAACACGGTCCTCAAACATGGCTCTGGGATGCTGTGTGGGATTTGTTCTGTTGAAACGTGTGTTATCTTTGATACTCTCTGCACCTATGAGATCAGAGTTCGTGTCTCTGGGAAGGAGAAGGCTCCAGAATTTGGCAGAGGTTCCCACCTCAAATCAGTTTCCCTGGAATATTTTTAGGCTGTTGGTTAACAGCACATCCGACACTCAGTAGTGTGACTGGCTTGGCTGAGCGCTTTGGGCGTTCCTCGCACACTTTGAACTTGATAGTAGGGTCAGAAGAGGTTCCTTTACCCTGTGGACACTGGCTTTGTCAAGCTGGCTGGGATGGGCCACTGTAAAGATTTGAGCCCTACTTTGGAGAAAAATGGCTTAATTCAATTCATTTTGCTCAATTCAACAGGTTTTTTTTTTGGTTTTTTTTTTTTTTGAGAAAATACTATGAACTCAGCACTTCTCTGGGATGGAAGTGGGATTGGGAGAAACCAAAGAGATGGATAGGACGGGGACCCTGCTCACAAGGATTAAAATCCTGGTGGGGAGAGAAGACAATTTCAGGACATGGTTAAGGAACAAAATTCAGTCATCAGAAGAGCTTCGGTTGTCTGAGCGCTCACTGTGTGCCCGGCACTGCGCTGAGCCCTTTACGTGAATTCTCTCGTTTACTCTCCAGAGCAAATCTCTGAGAGTCGTTGCCATCCCTGTTTGGTGGATGAGACTTAGAGGTGTGAGTTCGGCCGCCACAGGTCTCTCAAGTGGCAAGTGCCACACCTGGGACCCCACGCAGGTCCACCTGAGCTGTCCACACCTCGTGGCATGGTGCAGGCATGACAGACCCCAAACATGAGCCTTCAGGGCAATGAGCAAAAGCAGATCGGAAGGGGAGGATCACACTTAGGGAAAGGTGGAGAGCTCTGAAAAAGCGAGACCTTGAACTCAGGAAGGATCTGGACCAGAGAAGATTCCAGGGAGGAAGGAGGGATGGGTGACATGAGCCTCAGGAGAGAGCTGAGCGTCACCAGACGGGGACTTTGAGTGAGGGCTGCGCTTTATAGTCTAGAAAGTGCTTGCGTACCTGTCTGATGACTTTACAGCGGACCTGTGCGTAGCCAGGGTGGACCTTGTTATTCTCTTTACCCAGAGGAAGAAACTGAGCCTCACAGCTGAGCGACTTGCTCGTAAGGGGAATCTGGAGTAAGCCGATGCCTCCTGTCGAAAGAGTTCTTGCCGCCACCTGGTTGAGCCGGGCCGTCCCAGGCTCATCAGAGAAGCCTCAGCCGGCAGCAGGGTATTTTAGAAAGTATTCTAGTGAGGCAGTTAATTTATTATTCCCAGCAATAATACAGACATTTCATAATATCTCTTTTTAGACATGAGATTTTTTTAACTTCTAGATTTACTGTTTTAGTAGATGAGTTTGAAACATCTATTTTTCAGGTGTTTGGTCTCATTCATTTATTCATTCAACAAATACTTATTGAGCTCCAGTTACATGCCGGGTCCTGCTTAGTTGTTCCTTTGTTTTTGTTTTTTTAATTGCCTTTTTATAAACTTTTTTATTGATTTATAATCATTTTACAATGTTGTGTCAAATTCCAGTGTACAGGACAATTTTTCAGTTATACATGAACATATATATATTCATCGTCACATTTTTTTCTCTGTGAGCTATCATAAGATCTTGTATATATTTCCCTGTGCTATCCATAATCTTGTTTATTTATTCTACAATTTTGAAATCCCAGTCTATCCCTTCCCACCCCCCCATTTCCCACCCCCCTATTTTTTGTTTTGGTTTTGTTTCATTTTTGGAGGGGGGAGATAATTAGGTTTATTTATTTATTTTAGAGGCAGTACTGGGGATTGAACCTAGGACCTCATGCATGGTAAGCATGTGCTCTACCACTTGAGCTATACCCTCCCCCCAGTTACTCCTTTGAATATTCAGGCCTGTTACACAACTTTCCAAAGACAAAGCACAGGGTGCAGTTGCCACACCAGGTGAGCAGGGTTGAGATCTCTGATTTTTTAAATCTCTTTTTTAGTGGCTTTCTTGATGACAGCTTCCCTCACCAGGGTCCCCAGAATCTCTTCAGAGGTGACACTCGGAGAATTCGTACCCACTTTTCCAGATTAGGGAGTTAGCCTGTGACCACAGTGTCCTTCTCCCTGAGAAGTGGGCGGGCTCTTCACCCAGATTCCCACAGCCTGGGGACTCTCGGAGGGGAGAGGGAGCTGGGCCCTTCTGCTTCAGCACCACAGAACTCCGTGGCTGGAGTTCCAAGAGTGAGAACCTACCTCCAGTAGAACGAAGGTCCAAGGAGCGCCAGAGAGGAAAAACAAGAACCTCCAAAAGGAGTATCATTTGGAAACAAGTGTTTCACCTCTGTCTCACCTCCCTGAAGCTTCCCCCTCAGAGCCATGGCCCCACCATGTCCCCGTGTCCCTGACCTTTTTCATGTCATTTCTCCCTTTTTGATGGTGGAGTGGAGGGGACAGAACGCTGTCTCCTGGGGTTAGGAATGCGGCCACCCATCGCGTTTGCTGGGTGCCAGCACCATGCTGAGAACTCTGTGTGTCACCCCACTAACTGTCCCAGGAAAGGCATTATTATTCCCACTTTACAGATCCGGAATTTGAGGACTTCACAAAGTAGCTCAGTGACACAACCAGGATGCAAATCAGGGTCTGTCTCCAAAACCATGCCCTTAGC